GTCCTCAGAGGCACATAAGGGTCAGTTTGGGTCCCAGAGACAGAAATGGGACCATCAGAGGCCGGTGTGGGACCTTTAGAGGCTGGTTTGGGCCCTTAGGGGCCAGTTTAGGGCCCTCAGAGACCAGTACAGGGCCTCCAAAGGGCAGTTTGAAACCATCAGAGACCGAATTGGGCACTCAGAGGCTAATCTAATGTGGGTATTTACAGGCCAGCATGGAGCCCTCAGAGGTTAGCGTGGGGCCATAAAAGACCGACATGGGCCGGCGTTGGACCCCAGAGGCCAGTAGAGGGCCCTCAAAGGCCAAGATGGGCCCTCATAGGCCAATGCGGGCCCTTAGAGGCCGGCATCAGGTCTTCAGAAGCCCGTGCAGGGCCCTCAGAGGCTAAGGTGGGTCCTTACAGGACAGTAGGTACGGGCCCTCAGAAGTCAGTGTGGGGCCCTAAAAGATCGGCATGGGCCGGCGTTGGACTCCAGAGGCCAACAGAAGGCCCTCAAAGGCCAATATGGGCCCTCAGAAGCCGATGCTGACCCTTAGAGGCCGGCATCGGGTCTTCAGATTCCAGTGCGGGGCCCATAGAGGCTAATGTGTGTCCTTACAGGCCAGCATGGGGCCCTCAGGTCAATGTGGGGCCCTAAAAGACCGGTATGGGCCGGCGTTGGACCCCAGACGCCAGCGGAGGGCCCTCAAAGGCCAATATGGGCCCTCAGACGCCGATGCGGGCCCTGAGCGGCCGGCATTGGGTCTTCAGAATCCAGTGCGGGGGCCCTTAGAGGCTAATGTGGGTCCTTACAGACCAGCATGGGGCCCTTAGAGGTCAGTGTGGGGCCCTAAAAGGCCGGCATGGGCCGGCGTTGGACCCCAGAGACCAGCGGAGGGCCCTCAACGGCCAAGATGGGCCCCAGAGGCCGATGCGGGCTCTCAGAGGCCGACATCGGGTCTTCAGAATCCAGTGCGGGGCCCTCAGAGACACTTAAAGGTTAGTCTTGGGACTCGAGAGACAGAAATGAGGCCACCAGGGGCCGGTTGGGCCCCTGAGGCCGGTTTAGGGGCCCTCAAAGGCCAGTGGAGGGCCCTCAGAGGTCAATGTGGGTCCTCAGCGGTCAATGTGGACGCTTGACCGCCACTGAAGGGCCCTCAGAGGTCAGTGTAGGACCCTCAAAGACTGGTATGGGAGCTGTTAATGGCTGGCGTGGGTTTCTCGAGCCTCGAGTCGTGACAATCGAATACGGGCCAGGGCCCCATACGGCCATGGGGGCCCATCAGTTGTTTGGGGGGGGGGGCCAAATGATATGATGGCCCCCCTGATTTGCCTTTGGGGGGGCCATGGCCCTGATGGCCCCCCCTGCGACCGCCACTGAAGGTCAATTGTGGGCTGTCGAAAATACATTTGCACAGCAGTTTTCGAGTAGATGGATTGACCGAATTCCAAATCAAAGCACATCATCCCATACGGCACGGCCCATAGGCCGTAGTAACTTTCCTTAAAAACAGCTTTTCGATATGTGACCCCGTTTGACCTCGGCAGGTCAAAATGTGCAAATAAACGACACTCAATACGTCGCAGCCCGGATTCAGCCCAGATTCGGGACATCTCCGATCAAGCTGAAACTCGCACAGTGCACACAATGTAGGCCATGACATGCCCAATCCACAGTCCAAGTCATTCGGTGGCACTCCCAGCCGTTTGACCTACAGAGTGCCACCGAATGACTTGGACTGTGGATTGGGCATGTCATGGCCTACATTGTGTGCGAGTTTCAGCTTGATCGGAGGTGTCCCGAATCAAGGCTGAATCCGGGCTGCGACGTATTGAGTGTCGTTTATTTGCACATTTTGACCTGCCGAGGTCAAACGGGGTCACATATCGAAAAGCTGTTTTTAAGGAAAGTTACTACGGCCTATGGGCTACCCGATGATGTGCTTTGATTTGGAATTCGGTCAATCCATCTACTCGAAAACTGCTGTGCAAGTGTATTTTCGACATAGCCCACAAATGACCTTCGGTCATCGCATGACCTTGAGAGGTCAAATGAGTGTCTGGAAAGTAAGATTAGATGCTGGCGAGTCGATTGGTGCCCGTTTTAGCGCTCTAGCTCTACTGGGTGGGCCACAATCTGCTGTGCACATTTGGGCCACATGACCTTTGCTGACCTCTGTAGGTCAAACGGCTGGGAGTGCCACCGAATGACTTGGACTGTGGATTGGGCATGTCATGGCCTACATTGTGTGCGAGTTTCAGCTTGATCGGAGGTGTCCCGAGTCTGGGCTGAATCCGGGCTGAGACGTATTGTGTGTCGTTTATTTGCACATTTTGACCTGCCGAGGTCAAACGGGGTCACATATCGAAAAGCGGTTTTTAAGGGAAGTTACTACGTCCTATGGGCTACCCGATGATGTGCTTTGATTTGGAATTCGGTCAATCCATCTACTCGAAAACTGCTGTGCAAATGTATTTTCGACATAGCCCACAAATGACCTTAGGTCATCGCATGACCTTGAGAGGTCAAATGAGTGTTGGGAAAGTAAGAATAGTTAGATGCTGGCGAGTCGATTGGTGCCATTTTTAGCGGTCTAGCTCTACTGGGTGGGCTACAATCTGCTGTGCAAATTTGGGCCACGTGACCTTTGCTGACCTCTGTAGGTCAAACGGCTGGGGGTGCCACCGAATGACTTGGACTGTGGATTAGGCATGTTCTGGCCTACATTGTGTGCGAGTCTCAGCTTGATCGGAGGTGTCCCGAATCTGGGCCGAATCCGGGCTGCGACGTATTGAGTGTCGTTTATTTGCACATTTCGACCTGTCGAGGTCAAACGGGGTCACATATCGAAAAGCGGTTTTTAAGGAAAGTTACTAAGGCCTATGGGCTACCCGATGATGTGCTTTGATTTGGAATTCGGTCAATCCATATACTCGAAAACTGCTGTGCAAGTGTATTTTCGACATAGCCCACAAATGACCTTAGGTCATCGCATGACCTTGAGAGGTCAACTGAGTGTTGGGAAAGTAAGATTAGATGCTGGCGAGTCGATTGGTGCCATTTTTAGCGCTCTAGCTCTTCTGGGTGGGCCACAATCTGCTGTGCAAATTTGGGCCACGTGACCTTTGCTGACCTCTGTAGGTCAAACAGCTGGGAGTGCCACCGAATGACTTGGACTGTGGATTGGGCATGTCATGGCCTACATTGTGTGCGAGTTTCAGCTTGATCGGAGGTGTCCCGAATCTGGGCTGAATCCGGGCTGAATCTGGGCTGAATATGGGCTGTCTTGATCAACATCAAACTGATCGCCGATTCCTACTCTGATAACTGTTCGCCCCTGGCCCCCTTCCCTGGACCATACCAACCATTCGCACCCTCCCACCGTCCCCTGACCACCGTTCGCCGCTGTCCTGCGCCCCCGGCACGCCCCTCCCGCCGTCCCTGACCACCACTGACCACAACCCTGCGCCCCCAGCACGTGCACCACGGAGCTGATCACGCTGGTGGGCACGCCGTACTACATGTCGCCGGAGCGGATCCACGAGCGCGGCTACAACTTCAAGTCGGATATCTGGTCACTGGGCTGTCTGCTGTACGAGATGGCCGCGCTGCAGTCGCCCTTCTTCGGCGAGAAGATGACGCTCTACTCGCTGTGCAAGAAGATCGAGAGCTGCGACTACCCGCCGCTGCCCTCCGACCACTACTCGGACGTGGTGAGTACGGGGACTGGGGAGGAGACTGACTCCGAGGATCAGAGACTGCAGGAGGCGTGACAGAACTATATGTGACCCCGGGGCCCGGGCTCAGCGGGAGGGATAATTGAGGAAAGGGCGAGAACAAGATCTCACCCAGGCTGCCTGAGGGTTGTTGTCTGTTATGCCTGTCGCTTTTAGTATTCTTTGTAGTGTATCTGACCGGTGCGGTGTATGCTGTGCCGCAGTTCCGGAGTCTGGTGGACCAGTGTCTGACGCCCGACCCCAGCGGTCGACCCGACATCGGCCACGTCACCCGACTGGCTGCCGAGATGCACGAGAAGTCGTCGGCGCCCGGCAGCGCCGTCAGCACGACCAGCTACGCCAACCGCATCTCCAGCGACGGCTTCATCAAGCCGCAGTAGCGGCGCCGAGCGGGCGGGCTAGCCACCGTCCTCCGTCCGGGCCGCGCCGTCCGATATTTGGTCCGTACACGGCCCGTACTCGGTCCGTACCAGGCCGATACTCGCTCCGTATTCGGTCCCACTCGGTCCGTACTCGGCCGATAATCGCTCCGTCCAACCAATCCGTCCAATTCGCTCTCACTGTGACGGCTGGGTGGAACCCGCCGTCTCAGTCCGATCTACAGAGCGAGTACTTTGGACGGCCCAGTCTGTGCCGGTGAGGCCAGTGATGTCACGCTTACAATCCGTCCGTGTGAGCTGTGCAGTCGGCGGCACCGCGCAGGGGCCTCTGTCGCGGCCGGTCGCCCCAGAGGTCACAGAGCACCGGTTGTCGGAGCGTGCCACCCTGTGACTGTGCCGCTCGCCCGAGAGCAGGGCGGGGTTCGTGAATCGGTGTTCTTCGTGCAGCCAACTCTGCACGCACAGCTCTCGGTCGATCTGTGTATGCGTTCGGCGGTGCCAGCACTGTGCGATTATTGGTTACCGAACGGCGGTACGAGCACTTATTGTTGGCGCATGATCAGTTATTTACATTTTGCTGCACGTTGGAAAACGTAAATATGCAAAAATATGCAACATATGAATAATAAACGGGAGCTGTTCAACACGCTTTCTGCTGAAATGCGTCAGCAACGAAGCTGTCAATGAATGCAGATGAACTAACACATTTGATGTCATATTCTCTAGAGATGCACTTCTCCTGAAGTGTCAAATTTAGATTTAAAGCCCTCTTCACTTTAGCAACTCAGATTTAATAGCAAAGAATGAAGACACAATCTACTCGCCGTTTCCAGCAGGAACAATGGGATTCTGCAAGTCAAACGGTCATCCACCACTTACCACCACCCTCCAGCAAAGCATATTGTGGAAGCACACTCACGTGCGCTGGCATTTATTGCAAAACCTCCAAGTACTTACAACGTACGTGGCACCTGGATCACAAACTTTCGAGGTACGCGGCACGACAATCACAATGTGCGGTGGCTCGGCAGGGGCCGGAGTGTCGGCGCCGGTCCGCGCCCCGCTGCCGGCGGCGGACGCAGCTCTGCCTCTCACGGACACACACCGCTGGTCCACACAGGCTGGACGGCGCCACCAGCGTCAGAATTACGGCAGGCAACCGCGCGGCCGCCTCAGTGAAAAATAGTGCCATTCGGATGAGTGGTTCATCACATTGAGCAGCGATGGGCAATCGTCGAGAAATGCGTACAGAAAGACCACGCCGAGTCCCCACACGCTATGCGACACAACCGAGCCTCACCAGCACACACCCTATACAAACACGCGCAGCACAAGTACAAACTGCACATACGAGCCGCTAGCGTCGATCACAGCAGACTTCCCCCCCCCCTCCCTCCCACCCCGTAGCGCGCGCGGCGGACCCCGCGTCGTCCACCGACTGTGCTCTACCCGCGCGTGTTGAATCATCCCGCGACGAACCTCGCCGGCGCCGCAGCTCGTCCGTCCAGGGGCCGTCGGCGGGCGGCGACACCGCGCCGACGGCCGTAAAGCTCCCTGGGGCCACCGGCGCGGCGGGGCCGGCTCTGGGGCGCGTGTCGAGTGTAACGGGCCGTGCTGAGATCGCGGGACCCGCGGCAGCCGGCCAGAGTGATATGTGGTGGTCGGTGGGTCCCGAGCGTGGCCGGCCGGCCGGGCACACCGTCAGCCGCGGCCCGTGTCGGGCCGGTCGCCGGCCAGAGGTCGGCCTCATCACGAGTAATCGTCGTCTTCGTCGCTCGAGTGGACCATGGCCGAGCGCATCGCCGCGTGCATCTCCGCGTCTGTCTGCAACTGCAACACAGAGACACGACCCGCCGGTGATGCTGTCCGACTTTGACTTAGGGCAGCCTTAGCTTCTACCAAACCATGGACATTGGCGAGCTTAAAATTCATATGTCAATGCTAAATAAACCGTAATTATTTTACTGGTACGTAAGAAAGTTTCATAGCAAATAAAAACATTATTTTCAGCAAAATACAAAAGCGGTGAGATTGCATTAGATACGTTGTCACTTAAAACGAATATTAGGAAACTAATTTAACGTATCAAATGGGCTACCGTAATTGCAGCATTCACCGCAAAATTTCAGTTTCCGTCCAACAGCAGCAATTCACCCACAGGAAGCCCACAACTACATCTGTTTACGCAAACACGGAAATCGGTCAGCAGTGGACGCCGTTACGGTGTCCGGCAGCGTTCGTGACGGGCGCGGAGCTTTCTGCCCGGAGAACGCGGCATTGGCGGCCATAAAAAGGCTGCTGAGCGGTCGAACACGAAACACGCCACTGCACTGTGGTGGGGGAGGTCAAGGAAACCGAATATTAATCTGGGGCGCGATCCATAACAAATCGCGAGTCTCACAGCTTACCGCGCCACAAACAGCGGCTTACGGCTTTGTAGGATCATGCTGTAAAACAACTTGCCACAGAACGAGTAACTAAAAAAACCGTCTCTCGGTATCATGAAATATTTCGACTTCGACGACAAAGCAGATACATAGCTGTTCCGTATTCGTATACGGTGTTGTCGTCTACGTTGCATATGAAAATGGTAAATGCGAGCGCGACTGTTGTCTCAGTTTCTGCCACCATTTCTGCCGGCAACTGTAGACGGTGACGCCGCTCCTAACTGGGACAGCAGTAGCGGCACCATCGGTAATTCAGCAGCGTTACCCATCCCCGGCAGGTCCCGCACATACCTGTTACATTACGCATGGCCAGCAGCCACCAGTAATCCAAAAAAGCGCAGCATTACTCGTTACACGAGCAGCCAGCCGCGCACGGCATTGTAAAAACAATACCGACGGCGTCTTCAATTAACCGCCGCAATAAGGCACCACCATTCGGGAGCCCCCTCATCCCAGTATCGATCAGGCAGGTAGCGGCAGAACCCCCCCCCCCCGCCCCCGCCCGACGACCCGCGGCACCATCACGTGTCGTAACGGGTCCCCCCGATGGCGTCACTAGGCGCCGCCCACCGCCGCGACGAGCCGACCATCGACCGGGCCGTGGACCACGGTCACAGCACACACAGGACGGGAACGGACGGAAAGGTACACCACTGGCGCCTGACGGGCAGGACGGCCATGGCAAAGGTGTGGTCCTGTGGCCAGGACTGGCTGACGTCGTGCGTACACACTACACAGTCACGATGGCAAAAGGTGTAGCTGTGGTCAGGAATGACCTGGCACCGTGTGTAGACAGTCGGCATAGCAAAAGGTGTGTGTCGGTGTGACGACGCACACAGTCTACGTCACCTGGAAGAGGCGATCCAGGTGACGTAGAAGGGACAATGAGGGAAATGATGCGTGTTCTTGGAGTAAGAAGGTTCGGAGGAGAGCGTGGTGCTCGGAAAGGTGCACTGCGCCAGGAATCAGGCCTGGATGCTTGCTGTATGAAATGCCCCGGGTACCCCAAAGCCGTCCCAGCAGCTCGCGCTACCCATCCATCAGCGTGTACTACCCCTCCCACCATCCCATGCTCCAGCCGTCCCACCATTTCAGCACCGGTCCCACCTGTCCCAGCAGGATGTCCCACCTGTGCTACCATCTCAGCAGGCTGTCCCACCTGCCTGTCCCACCAATCCCCAGCAGTATGACTGTCCCACCAGCCCCGCAGCGTGACTGACCTGCCAGTCCCCCGCAGTGTGACTGACCTGCCAGCCCCGCAGTGTGACTGACCAGCTGCCGGCCCCGCAGTGTGACTGACCTGACTGATCTGCTGCAGGTGCTGCTGGTCGGCCAGCATCTGTTCGTGTCTGGCGCGCGCGAACAGCTCCTGCTGCTGGCGGAGCAGCTCCTCCTCGGGTATACCGAGGTTCTCCAGGCGCGTGCTCTGACGGCGCCGCTTGGCGGTGATGTCCTTACACTGGCGCGCCACCTCCTCCACCGCCTGGCGGTAGTCGGAGAAGCCGAGCTTGTCCAGTCCTGGCGACAGGGGGCACTGGCGGCGTCAGACTCGGCCGACCGGCGACACTGCCAGCCGTCCAGAGCGGTGACAACCAAACAAAGCTATCTACCATACCCAGGGATAGTCAGGGCATCCAAGGATTACAACTTGCCATCACCAGCCTGGATTATGGATAATATAAAATGTCCCACGGAGCCGGTACAATGTTTCGTATTCCGTTCGTAGGAACATAGATGTGAAAAAAAAAACACAAGACTACGAAGCATCTAGCCACCGTTTCGTCGTTTCCATCCTCAGGATACTGAAAACCTTCTCCTCCACGCCGTAACCCCCCACTCCGGGCTGGACAGGCACCTTTATCCCATGCGGGCTGCTCTCTTGGAGCGGCAACGGTGCTTCCGAGGGAGCACACCCGTAGCCGGGTGCAGTGAGTACCTTGGGGCTAGTCGGCCTGTCCTTTTGGGACGGGCTCAGCCCCGGTGACTCACTGGGATGCCTGCCCAGGCCAATGTCTCCCACCTAATTTCTGTCATCCTCCCGGCTCTGAAATGGTCTAATTGGACCGAAAGGGCCTAACCCAACAAAACAAAAAAGTATCTACATGTCAGACATGAGGGTACTTAAACGCTAAGATGTACTGCTTAATGAAAACAGCTGCCCCATGGGTCATACACTAGGTACTCTAGTGAGGATTGTAACCACTTGCCGATACGTGATATATTGAGACTGGGTTAATTTGAGAGGTTGATCCCCCGTAACTTATGAGTAGGTGAATACAAGGACTGTCTCTAAACATACCAACCAACTCAGATCGAAGTTCCATCGAGACATGAGCGGCTACGGCGACGATTATATAAACCTTTTCAGGGATAACTTTGTCTGCCAATGTGATAAAAGATCGCTCAAATGTATCAATCCAAAACAGTCCTTCCGCTGAAACCAAACATCGTCAGCCTTTCTGACAGTCAATTCTTAAGTTACCAAGTCCATCTGCCGCAACACTCTCAGCACCTTTCCAAGCTACCCACCAATTCCTCTGATCCCTCAAACCAATCCCCAGTATATGCCCTTTCCTCAACACCTCATACCCCCTGTTCCGGGCTGCACGGTTAGCATGATCCGATATGAGCAACCCCCAGGAGCTGACTCACACGCGGTGAGGTGAACGTTAGCGGGACAGGGTGGCCAGTCCAGTGTCCACGGGATGGACTTAGAGCCCTCACTCCCTGGCGACACACCAGGGTGGCCGCCCAGGCCAATGTCCCCCAAGCCAAACTCCCCCCCCTACATACACACAAAACCAACAATTAAACCGATCTGTCCAACCCTAACTTCAGCCCAATGAAGTGTTTTACCGACCCTGACCACAGCCGACAGCACTGACCGGTGAGCACGAGCGGGAGAGAGCACCCCAGCTCGGAGGGCACTGACCGGTGAGCACGAGCGGGAGAGAGCACCCCAGCTCGGAGGGCAGCACTGACCGGTGAGCACGTGGTCCGGGTTGATGGTGCGCCGGTTCTGCTCGTTGCAGACGGCGTTGGCCTCGGAGGAGACCAGCAGGATGAACTCCTTGCAGCAGTTGAGGATCAGCTCGCGCGACTCGTTGGCCACGCGGATGCGCGGCAGCACCTCCTTGATCATCTTGTTCATGGAGGCGCGCGGGATGGACAGCTCGTCCTCGGACGGATCGTTGGTGGCCATCTTGCACAGGGTACTGCAGGAGAAAGGATGGCATCAAACATGTTTTGATCTCAGAGGAGTGCTGTCATGCTCCATTGCAGAGCGACCAGCCTTGTCTGATTGGCAAAAATGATCAAATGAGATGAGATGAGCTGCTTGTAGAATAGGAAATTAAATGCATTACTTATCCACCCTTTGTCCCTTTGTATTAGATCACACCATGCAACACGTAAATAATACTAATTCTTCGAGAATCAGTGATACTATCACTGTCTCACTCTCAACAGAACCACTGATATGAGCATGGTAAGAACAAAATCTTCCAGGAAATGCCCTAACTACATAATAATCATGTGTATAAGCAACAGATATTTCTGCCATTAAATATCTCAACATGTTAAGACTACCTTACTGCTCAATATGCCACCAAATTGTCACTGTCTGCAGAGAATGACTACAATAGGCACAGAGTAGCATTGGCTAATGCAGTGTCCGGCAGCACTACCCATGACACTGGCAGCATGGGTTAACAAGGTGATTGTGGTCCTTGTTATACCTACCCATATAAATATCAACATCTACAAATGGAGCTGCCAAACGGCACACACCTAAGTGCTACTTATTACTATCACATTATTATTATCACATACATGACTATGATTGTTTAAGACATTTAGGGTGGAGAAACTTCAAGTGACAATATTTTATTCCTTTAAGTTTTGATGCATGTAATCAAGGCACCTTTTCTCACTTACTTTCTTTGTGGTGTAGGTCTGTGTGCAAATCAAATCTAAAAAGTTTTGGTAGCTTTTGTGTGTAAATCAGACTAACTAATCAAACTAACCAAACTCCAGCCAACTCAGTGTCCCAAATTTGCCAGTTTGGGTGGTAACTGGGAAGGGACATCCAAATCAAAATCAGTAGGCGGAACTATGGTCATGAGTACCCAAATATAGGAACGTTCCCATTTTTGGGAACGGAGTTCCCAAATATGGGAACGGGCGTTCCCATTTATGAGAACGGAAGGCAATTTTTCGGCCGTTCTCCCACTAAAACTCAAAAGTGCATCACGTCTCAAAAAAGTGCACGCTGATTTAAGTATCTACTAAATTTCCATAAAGTTATCTTTAATCTGACCGTGGAACAAGGAAATTGACCGTGGAATGATATTTTTAATGATTTTTTGAAAATGACAGAATGGTGGAAATATGGGTTATACGACATTTAACATGCAATTTTAAGGAAAATGAAGCATTTTTTAGTTTGAGGTAAAGTATAATAATTTTCGCCTGGTTATGAACTTTCATACTATCGACACCAGATGCTGACAAATGCAAGCGAAGACGCGGACGGTCCCGAGGTAATATTGTTGACTTTTGTGTCGGGGCGGACGACCGCGTGGAACGTGAGTGAATTTACCGAGCTACTGTTGTAAACTCAGTTTAAGCGGTTGAAAATTATCCAGCTATATTTTATCATCCCGGAAAGACATATTTTATTTGGATGCTAGCTGTTTAGAGTTGTTTTATAAGGAGCGTCATGAGCGTGGTTTTTGTCTTCCGTGTTTCTAAGCGTGATCGTTTTGGGGGAATTTCTCTTATATAGCTCGCTCTGTGTGGCTTATTTATAATTTTTATGCTGATTTCGATAATTCCTCGTGCCCATCCTACCAGGCCTTTTGCCACTTACACTCATCAAGAAAGGAAAAAACTAGATTTTCATTAGGACTAGGTGTTTTGAGGGTGTAACATATTCAGCGTTCCCATTTTTGGATACTTCCTTGTACTCGTCAACTATCGGTGATAAACAGACAGGTGCTTGACATGTCTCCACCCTCAGCGCGGACGGTGGATAGGTATGGAAGACCTTGTCGAACATCGCTGAGCGTTGTGAATTACGTAATCCTGCAGAGGGGGGCGTGCCCGCTGCGAGATCGACGGGAATAAAAGCGCAGAAGACCGGGCGAAACATGCGACGGTTTTGCCGGAAAGGTCATCTGATGATTGTTGCGTTAACAATAATTTGCGGCGTTGGACGTGATGCATGTTAATGAAAAGAGCCCCTGAAAGGCGTCGGTGAAATCGTTCCCAATTTTGGGTACGCCGTTCCCATAATAAGGAACGCTTGCAGCGCCAGTGTACGAGAGCGTTCCCAAATTTGGGCTCGCGGCCCGGATGATGGACTGCTTTAGATATAGGGGAACGATTTGAAACTACGATGGGCCTTACAATATCAAACTCTTTCCCAACAATATTGAGACAAATATCAGGCGGTTCACGATCGTTTTATATTTTTTGGACGTCATTTAACGGTTCTTTTTCTTGTTTTAAATAATGCCTACATGGCGTTCCCATATTTGGGTTTGTCGTTCCCAAACATGGGAACGAAAATGCGTTCCCGAAAATGGGTACGCTTGACCATAGTTCCGCCTACTGAAATGATTTTCCCACTCCCACACCCAATTTTCTAGAACAATTTTTCACTCCCTATTCTACCAATAAAGAGCATCTGCATGAAACTTTTACCTACCTCCATATTCGATTCAATAATCGCATAGGTAAAGCAGCTCCCACATCCTACAAAATTCACAAATAAAATTGTTGATCTCTGTTTTCGCTCTTTTTGTGCCTTTCTGACTGGCAATTTTACACTCTCAGCCCTTTTTGTAGTGACAAATATTCCCCTCTGACACCCAAACCAAAATATAATTTTGGGACACTGAAAATAACTAACCAAACTCCAAAGAGGCTGAAGCCAGTCACAGACTCATACCAGTCTTCAGCATTAACCAGCCAACAAGAAGCCAAAGCAAAGTCCCCAAGCCAAAGCCACACCAGCAAAGGTACCTAGTGAAGCTGCATCAGCCCACACCAACTGGGGTGGAAATCCACACCAAGCCACAGTAACTAAGACCACAAGTTTGAAGGAGAAAATTTAGCCCAGCCTAAAAAATCAAAGAATTATGAAATGGCCAGTCCCAGTATGTCTCCTGTTCAGTAACTAAGGGCTAAAATTTTTACCATAAAATTTTGAAACCCAGCCTTTTGGCTAGATAAAGAAATGCACACTGCTACCAGCACTGCACACTGCTACCAGTGCTACCAGCAATGGATTTCCTGGTACTGCATAGCCTAGAGAATAAATGCCAGCATGGGGTTATCCAGAGCTCTGTTCGCCCCCCCCCCCCCCCCCCTATTTATCAGCAGGCTGCAAGCATGCTGCTACTTCTTGACTCCTCATTGCCTATTGGTCGAATTCAAGTGGTTTATTCGTTAGACCAATGAGAGGCAAAGAAGCGCCAGCAATAAATACCTTATATCAGTTGGGGAAACTACGAGGTGATTGTCAAAAAATGGATTGGTCAATAAATTGACTTTTGATGACCATATATGGGCATAAATGCAGCCCCCGCTACTAAGGGTGAAAAACGGTATAACGAGCCGGTACTTGTGGTATCACGTCCACTTATTGGAGAGAAAAGGCTTCCATTTTTCACTAGGAATTAGTGTGATTTGATTAAATTCGGCGAATTGACTCGAAAATGGCGATAGGAAAACGGCTTTTCTGCAGGTTCTGGGCGTCACAATCAGCTGGCCATTCAATAAATGGATTGGATTTATGAAAGAAAATTGTTTAAAGATTTAATTTAATTAGAATAAACAAAAATATTTAATTCTAAAATAATAACTTAACTACAATTAGAAAAACCATAAACAAAATAATAAAAATAATGACATTTTTAAACCACGGTACTGCTTACATTTTTTGGCGCGTCTGTTTCAATCCGCCATATTTGCCAATCACGGTTTGACCTTGCGTTGTAACTCTGCGATTTAGAGCCGCCAGTTAATTATGCACCGGGTGAGTGTAGGTCTTGTGTGGTTAAAAAACATTCTTATGCCTTATTTTTTCATTTGAATGCTAAAATTCATTGAAAAGATGAAGTTGTCTGATTTTATGACCATATATGGTCATCGCCCCGCCCACTCCAGCCGCTGATTGGCTAATCCATTTTTTGTTTGGCTCCTCGTAGTTTCCCCAACTGATATGGGGAAAACTGACAGCACGCTGATATAAAAACAGTGACTGAACATAGCTCAGGTTTAGGCTCTCGCTCATCTAGCCCCAATGGATGAGAGGCTCATTGCCTTTCCATGGTGCAAGTTGCAACTGAGTTGGAAGTTCCCAAGATGTACAATGCAGCTTTCAACCATTCAAACCAGCCTAGTCCACAGAATTATTAAATGTATGCATATAGGTGAAAGACATTGTCCTAATGTAAAGAGCACAAACACTATACATCATGCCATTGAATATTATCATGTCCGTGTAACTTGTAAGCACATCAGTAACTTAACTTGTAACTTGTCGCTAGCTCAATTTGATTGGGAGTTATTGGCAAAACGACTCTCGTGTCGTGACCCTAGTGACGTAATAAATTACGTCATGTAAGGTAACTGGTAACTGGTAAGCAATGCAAAAACGAAGCATTGGGCCACGGGCCTTGCAAGGAGTGAATGAAATCCTGATTACGTGTGTTTGATATAGTTTGAGATCATTCCCGGGCCCCGGCGCCAAAATAGCAGATAATACCTGATACCTGATACCTGATATTTGGGGATCATTGAAGGCACTAGGATTGCCCGGTGGATCCGTCGTAGAGAGCTCGGGTAGCGTCAACAGTCTTCACTATTGTGGAACGACGAAGGCATAGTTCGTCCAGTGCTTATCCAGCCGGTTCTTGAAAACATTGGTCGATGGCGAGCAGACGATTTCCTCTGGTAGAGCGTTCCAGTCCGACACAACCCGGGTGGCGAAGTGGTTGCGCCGGACGCGGCTGACCGCTGGCTTCTTGGCGACCTTCAGTCGGTGGCCGCGGGTGCGTGTACTCGGGGCGGGCGAGAAGAAGTCGTCCTTGTCCAGGCCGGAGCGTCCATGCATGATGTTGAACATTGTTATCATGTCTCCGCGTCGACGGCGGTACTGGAGGGAGGGAAGTTTCAGACTCTTCAGCCGTTCCTCGTAAGGCAGATGCCGAAGTCCAGGGACAAGGCGCGTAGCCCGTCGCTGAACCCGCTCCACCAGCCTCACGTCGGCCGCGTTGAACGGGCCCCAGACTTGGTTGCAGTACTCTAGGTGCGGGCGAACCATTGTCTTGTACAGCAGAGGAAGTGTCTTGGAGTCGATGTGGACGAAGCTATGCTTGATCAGGCCGAGGATTCTGTTGGCCTTACCAATGGCGGTCGCCGCCTGCTCCCTGAATTTAAGCAGTCTGTCCATCTGGACTCCCAAGTCTCTTTCCGTGTCGACAGTCTTCAATGCAGCGCCTTCGATCGTGTACTCCGTTCGCACGTTTTGGCTGCCCAGGTGAAGCACTGTGCACTTGGATGGGTTGAACGGCAGCTTCCACTTCCGAGACCAGGCCGCCAGGGCGTTCAAATCCTGCTGGAGCCTTTTGCGACCGATCTCGGTGCCCGCTCCGACGTACACCTTCGTATCATCAGCGAAGAGCTTGCATGCGCTCTCAACGCAGCCAGGTAGGTCGTTGACAAAAGCGATGAAGAGCACCGGTCCCAGAACTGTGCCCTGCGGGATACCGCTGCCGACTGCGGTCCAGTCCGAGAAGCTGCCGTTGACAGTGACCCTTTGCTTCCTCTCTGTCAGGAATGAGCTAAGCCACTCGAGGAGGGGTCCTCTAATGCCCATGTCGTGGAGCTTCTGCAGAAGACGCAGGTGAGGCACCGAATCGAAGGCGCGTCGGAAGTCCAAGTAGGCGACGTCAACCGGCTCGCCCTCCTCCATCAGCCAAGTCCACTCTTCGAGTGTGCTGAGAAGCTGCGTTGCGCAGGAGCGTCCCGGGCGGAAGCCATGCTGGCAGTCACTTAGCTGGCCTGTCTCTGTCATATGCTCGAACAGGGCGTCACGCACGAGCGACTCCAACACTTTTGCCGTCACGGACGTCAGGCTGACAGGACGGTAATTGGAAGGATCGCTACGAGGTCCCTTTTTATAAATGGGGACAACTTGGCCTAGCTTCCAATCTCTCGGGACTCTTCCGTCTGCCAAGGAGTGGTTGAAGAGGTCTGCCAAGGGACCACACAGGGGGGAAGCCAGCTCGCGCAATACCTTAGGATGGACCGCGTCAGGACCTGGTGATGCTGTCGGACGTAGATTGCGGAGTTTGCCCTCCACTTGTTCCGGCGTCACCCGCAGCCCCTCCAGCGTTGGCCCTCCATATTGGGGATTCATGGCTGGAACGTCAGCCGGGTCTTCATCCCAGCAGTACACACTGCTGTAGGCTTCGGCCAGAGCCCTGGCTTTAGCTGCGTCCGTGCACGCCATATCCCCATTCCCAGTGACGAGGTCGTCCACTCTTGTTCTGGTGGTCAGGCGGGAGTGCACATAACGCCAAAATGCCTTTGGGTTTTCCGGCAGGTTCTCCACCAGTTGTCGCTCAAAGTTCCTGCGAAGTCGTCTAACCAGTCCCTTCAACTGGTTCCTGGTTCGAGAGAATCGGCAGTAGTCCAGGGTATCTTGGGTAAGTAGGTATCTCTTCCACATTCTCTTCTTACGGTTCTGCAGCGTCAGGGCCTCGCGCGTCATGTACAGGTTTCGCTTCCTGCCACCTGGGTGTTGCCTAGGGATGCCGCGCTCGCAGATGCCGTCCAGGACTTCTTGAAACGCTCGGTAGTGTTGGTCAACAGTGCAGCCGTCAGAGACAGGCCAGGTCGCCTCTCGTGCCATTCGGACCATCGCCCCATAGTCGCCGCGGTGGAGTGCCGGTTTCGGTGTTACCACTTGCTCGTCTTCAGCGTAGCACCGCAGGGTGAACGTCAGGACAACGTGGTCGCTACTGCCGAGTGGCGGATGGCTGCGGAGGTCGTGGACCATGCCTTCCTCGTTGGTCAGCACGAGGTCCAGGACGTGCGGCGTCTGTCCGGGGCGGTATCTCGTTGGGGACAGCACGTGTTGAGTGAGGAAGTGGTCCCTAAAAAGTTCAAGGAGCTCATGCGACCAATGTCCAGTTGGTGCCCTTGATACCTCAGCTGTCCAGTCGATTTCGGGAGCGTTGAAGTCACCGGTAATCAGTAGGTGTGAAGGTCCTGAGGCGGCGACGAGATCCAGCAGATGGCTCAGCTGGCTGGTTGATTCCAGTGAGCTAGATGGGCTCCTATATATGCACCCAATCAACAGAATGTCGCTGCCTGCCAGACGGATATTTAACCATAGTTGTTCGCGGAAAGGACTGGCAAGAAACCTAACTTCGGAACAGGGCAAGGAGTCGTGAACATAAATGCAGATTCCACGGGGCCTTACAGTACCTGAACTTACAACATCAGGAATGAAGCTTAAATAAGCTTTGTAACCAGGAATGGCAAGGCGCGCAGCAGACACGGCGGAGACCTGGACTTTGGGCAAAACCTCAGTGATGAGCATGATGTCGGGCTCCGTCCCAGCTATCCGCGCATAAAGATCATCACGCTTGTTTAACCCTATTCCTGGCGGGCTCCGCCGGGACAAGAAACTGGCGGGGGGGGCCGATTCGGCCCCCCCCCCTGAGATCTCGAGAACGAAGCGAGATAGCGACAAGCGGTAAACGGCATCGGATACGCACGGCCAAGATCTACAATTTTTACTAAGGTCATTTTCAGGTCAGGTCAAAGATGACGTCACAGGGGTCGAAAAAGTCAAAATGGCGGCACTAGATATGGAGAGAGTTTTTCTCGAATAACTTTCGAATTAGTCAAGATAGGAACAAACTAAGGGCATCATCGTGATCCTCTCGTCAATCCGCATCGAATGATATATATGTTGACCTCGAAAGGTCAAGGTCAAAGGTTGACCTCAGGTCACGTGACCTCGAGGTCATCATGTATATCATTCGATGCGTCTTGACGAGCTGAACACAATGAGACCATCCACGCGTCTGTATCTTGTTCCTGTACGGAGTTATTGGCCAAAAACCTTTGGTGACCTTTGATGACGTCACATGACCTCACAGCTGCCCAACAGCAAAACAGACCTCAAGGTAGTGAAGGTTGATCGTATATGAAGTCATGTATGGTATATGGGGCCATTCCGACCCGTTTTAGTGGTAAAAACAGGGAGTTGATTTTTCCCCCATTGACTTATAATGGGGAGGTCGCGAAATTGACCTGACCTTAGGTCACCGATATCAAAATTCCGAGATATACAAATTGCACATACTGGTACCCTAACTAAACCCTGAAGAGAAGAAATTGATCGGTCAAAAACTCTAGCTCTGGCGTGATTGCAAACTTTTCTGAGGTAGCGTCACCAAACCGCCTCTGGTGACCTGACCTGAGGTCAAATCAACTCAAAATTTTCAGACATGTTGCGTAGAAGCCTTTTAGGAAAAGTCAGAAAATTTGAGCTTCCTAGCTCAACGCGTTTGGGAGATATAAACAAAAAACCTCAGGGGGGGGCTCCTGAGGCCCCCCCCCCCCCGCCAGGAATAGGGTTAAGTACTGGTCGGCGTTAGTATACAGGATCGACAGTGCTCGTTTCCCACGTGATTGTCATATCCGTTGCGTTTGCCGATCGCCGTCGGTGGCAGCGGTTTCGCCGTCGGCTAGCACAAGCCGGCCACCAACACCGCCGTCCGCCGGCACACGCCGGTTTCCAGCGCCGCTGTCCGCCGGCACACGCCGGCCGCCAGCATCGCCGTCCGCCAGAGCACGCCAGTCCCCAGCATCGCTGTCCGACGGCACGCGCCGGCCACCAGCACCGTCGTCCGCCGGCACACGCCGGTTTCCGGCACCGCCGCCCGCCGGCACGCGCCGGTTTCCAGCTCCGTCGTCCGCCGGCGCACGCCGGCTTCCGGCCCCGCCGTCCGCCGGCACACGCCGGTTTTCAGCACCGCTGTCCGCCAGCACACGCCGGTTTTCGGCGCCGCCGTCCGCCAGCTCGCGCCGGTTTCCAATGTCCGCCGGCAGAGGAGACCCGGGGCCCACCAGACCCCGGCTAGGGGCGGCACCAGCACGGTGGCCGGCGAGTGGGATGATCTTTATTGAATAATTGATAAAATAATTGAAAATTAATACAGCTGTTCACATTTCTATTGATTTTCCACAAATTTATATGGAATACTGAAATACTACAAAGCTTACTTAAACCAGATTTTCAATGCAAATGTTACTTTCATTCTGGTCCAATAAATGATACCTAAAATAAATGCAAAATACAATACAAATAGATTAAGTATATGCTGAATCTGAATAAGAACTTGTCCTACAATGGCAAAGCAATTCACCTCTTTTCAAAATTTTGGACACTATAAACAGTATTCACTCCTTTTCTTCACAAAATCTGACCTGTTTCAATACAAATCTATGGGCCTGTTCCAGCGCCTCCAGTAGAAATTCTTGACTGGAGGCTCTACCAGAGGTTTCACTGGAGGCGCTGGAACGCAATCTGGAGATTTCTGGAGATTGGCGTCACAGATACCAAAAGAATAAGGATTGTTCTCTCTTGAAACACAAAATTTGTTTTCAATTTTAGTAAGAAAGATAAACAAAATTATAGCAATGTGATTTTCTTTACATTCAAGTTGTAAAATTATCAGTCCAAAGTCCTTTGCTTACATTCGTGATTGTCACATGTGCGCCATAATTGTAGACCAGAGCCTCCAGAGAAATTTGGACCTCCCAACTCTCTGGAGGCTACTGGAGGTTTCTGGAGCTTTGGCGAGAGCTTTCTGGAGCTTTCTGGAGGCGCTGGAACGCTCTCTGGAGGATTCTAGAGCTTTCTGGAGCTTTCTGGAGGTTTCTGGAGGCGCTGGAACAGGCCCAATATCAATAAATGTTTATTATTACCGTAATCATTGATCAATCCAGAATGCAGACGATTGCGGCGAGCTGCGGTGTATATGTCGCTCTCTCCTCATAAAACGCAGCTACTAAATAAAGCATTGTTGGTATGAATGATGTAGATTTGTATAATGTATAGCACACATGCAAACACCTTTTTCTTTCAGGGCCTCGTCTAACATGTTAACTGGGGGGGGGGGCAATTGCCTCCCCAGTCGAGCGGATTGCCCCCCCAGTGGCCAACATTTGCCCCCCCCAGTCAAAACGTGAACTTCTCATAAAATTTCCTTTCCTGCAATACGTTTTTGTTCGGAGTCTTACATGGATTTAACGAGAAACATTATTTGTTCAAAAACTGTTCATACCTACTCCATGGCTACGGGAAAAGCCAGAGTTTTATGATCTATAGAGCTGAGTACCTACTGTGATTCTGTGATTTTGCTACTGTGATTCAAGTAGCAAATTGCCAATTGGCAGCTGACCAGTGACCCAACTCGTGTTTGCGCCCCCCCCCCCCCACTCAATCAAACGCCCAACATGGATAAGTATGCTTATCACTGTCTGGTGGGGCAATGTGAGGGGGTAACACATTAATCTTAACTCTCGCCCGTATTGGTGTTTTTCCAGCCGCGAACGTATAGGGAGGGAGGGGGGGGGGCGTTGGACCTTGCCCCTTGCCGTTTGGCCCCTGATCGAGCTAGAGCTTCGCGGAGAAAACCACCGGGCTGCCCGTCACGAGAGGAAGCCGATGAGCCTCATTTTAAGGTCATAAGTCATCGGTTGACCTTCCAGGTCAGGTCAATGACCCAAAAGTCGGGAAACTCGCGGGACTTAGTACAACGTCGTAAAGGGTGGCTGTTATTTTTTGTCGGGGTGCTGATCACGAATATCATGTTAGTTATGATCATAGATAATGTCTTCATGCATTTAGGCCAGGTCGGGTCAGGTCAGGTCAGGTCAGGTCAACCAGTACCTAAGGGTTTTTTTGCCGGGTATTCGTAGTAGGTGGTAACCGCCTCTGGCTCCGACAGCTTCAAAACATGTTACGAAGGCACCAAAACTACTTCGTAAATGTTCAAATGGTTGCTAAATTCGAATTCAGCTTCAAAAACTGGCCTAGAATCATGTAAAACTCGAAAAAGTGAACCGAAGTCATCAAAGGTCAATGACCTGACCAGACCTCCCGGTGACCTTGACGCCCACCCTAATGCATGGGAGCAATATCATATTCCATGTTTGAACGCTTGAAACCACGAAAAGACTGTAAACGCGCGGCTAATGCGAGCCGACATACGCCAAATCGCGATTCCGGTCAAATATGGTCTCGAAAAGTAGGTCACAGATCAAAGGTCATTACGGTCAGGGTCATGACATTTTCAGAGTAGGTGTAAAATCGACTAACGCGAGGGAGGGTACTGAAAGTTTCGTCGCGGTCAGCCGCTTTTACGTGAACTATTCTTGAAAAACCGAGGGGGTCCGTTCGACCCTCCCCCCTATACGAGCATGGCTCGGATTGCCTTTTTTGTTTTTTGTTTTAAAAAATCATGGTCTCAGGTGTGACGAAAAATAAGTGGCCTAAATCCGTTGAGAAAACAGGATTTGGGGGTACCCTAGGTTTGGGTCCTTCAGTCTCTGCCCCCCCCCCCCAGTGAAAATTCCTTAGACGAGGCCCTGTTTTCTTTTATCTTAAATTTATAATTGTAGCATGCTGATTTTGGTCCATTTTTTTATATACTTTTGAACAATGCCTTGAATTAAACTACTGTGATTCTGGGAACACCTGTGCATGAAGATAGTTGCTGTAAAAGATATTATGGTGCATATTTGGTCAAATTCGGTGCATTCGCCAGATAGCCCGTCGTGAAATGGCTATTGCATATCATTCGATTCGGCATGTATTCCTGAGTCCATTACTGGCGATCCCGACTCGCTAGCTCAATTTGATCGGGAGTTATGAGTTATTGGCAAAACAACTCTCATGACCCTAGTGACGTCATAAATTACGTCACGTAAAGTAAGCAATGCAAAAACGAAGCATCGAGCCACGGGCCTTGCAAGGAGTGAATGAAATCCCGATTCTGTGTGTTTGATATAGTTTGAGATCATTCTCGGCACCAAAATAGCAGTTTTCATCTTTCCCATTGCCTTATAAGGCTATAGGTAGGTAGGTAGGTAATGGTGAGTCTGGTCAAGTGGTCGACCTGACCTCATGTAACCTTAAGAAAAAAATCCGAGATTTACAAGTTGTGAGACCTCTGGAGGATACTACGCCCTCTACTCCCTGTAAAAGTTCCTCTGGCACTGAGGGTGTTGCAAAGTTGCGACATCTGAGGACCGTGCAGAGGATCACTTGTGACGTCACATAGGTCAGTGACCTGACTTGACCCGAAAATGTGGTTGGTACCACAAGATGCGGCTTGAATCAAAGGCTAGTTATGCCAAGTTTCAGCTCTCCATCTCCAGCGTATTCGGAGCTATCGCAAAAAAACCCTATGGGGAGACACTCCCTTCGGCCGGCGAGGGTTAACTCCGACTCCGGAGTCGGAGTCGGTAACACTTAAGCGACTCCAACTCCGATTCCGACTCCGGGAAAACTGCCGACTCCGACCGACTCCGACTCCGACTCCAACTCCGTAGCCCAGGTCAGGGTCAGGGGTCTCAAATCTCAATACATTGCCAGGAACGCTCTGTAGGTATATCTGGGCGCCACCAATGATGTGTGTGTGTGTGTGTGTTTTTTTTTTACAGCTCCAGGGCGCGACGACAGAGCGCCTATGCGGACTGCGGTGGTGCCGGTGCCGATGTGGCGGTGCCAGCCGCAGAAAACTGGATCAGTAGCTGACCTGGGGCGCGGCGGGCCGACCTATCTAAATGAACATCGCGCCGGCCGAGCCACCACCCGACAGTGAGGAATCGCTGGTGACCTCACTAATTACCCGTCGGCAGGCGCACGAGCCAAGTGGCTGATTACCCGAACTGCGTCCTCCCCCTAACACATACTCAGGGCGATGGAGAACCGCGCGACCACCGCACCCGCGCAGCTATGTGGGTCATCTTCCGTTCTAACTTCTATAGGGAGAACCTCCCTACTAGTTAGAGATGGTCGGTCAGCCCGGTCTTGTGAAAGCAACGGACCTAATAAGAATGTCTAGTTAGCGAAAACCTGGCATTGTTAGTTTGGTTATTGATCAAGTGCTGTTTTATAATGCGTACCTAGTCATCCAATCCAATTCAGGCTAGCTAACCAGTAACCACTTCGCATTTTCATAGGCGGCGGAACGGGAAGGGCACCGGGGCACCGCATGCCCCCCTTTGCTTTTTGCATTTTAACATTAGCCCTATGGGCGTTGCATGGAAAGAATGGGACCGAAAGTCGGCAGTGCCCCCCCCCCTCCCCTTAATTGAAGGTGTTCCGCCGCTACTGCGCACTTGTGAGCTTACTACTGAGTGCTCAGTGGCCAGTGCTGGCCTACACCTACGTATACTGCTGTATCAATTTAGTTCATATATTTTTGTTGCGCGTAGCCCGAAAATTTACGAAGAAAATTCGATCGAAATTGACGAAAATGTATGTCTTTCGAGCATACCTATAAAGAAAACTCATCAACTTTCACGGTAAAAATTGTTTTCAGGAGCAGAGGAGTGCATAAGAAATCGAAATCCAAGGAGTTTTGGGAAATTCGAGAAACTGTTTGGGTTTTCGGACCCCGCTTGCAGCGTAGGTAAGTCTTGGGTAGGTAAGCCGCCTTTCTGGATCCGCCAGTGACCCCCTAATAATGCACCTTAGACAGGATCCGAAAATTTACCTTCTTTGAATGAAACGGTCTGTAATAACGTCACAAAATGTTTATTGTTCATGGATTGCAGCTTTTTGACGAAATTTAAGAAGAATGCAGAGATAACCTAAATTTATTGCACAAAGAAGACAAACGAAGGCCTGCGTCGACACCCACTGGCTTCTGACTTTCTTCGAATATCTAATCTGCATGGGGGTTGAGCAGCTCTCCCCTCAGGAATCGGCAGGCTTAGCTTCCACACAATTCGTGTGCACTGGCGGATCCAGGGGGGGGGCCACCGGGGCCATGGCCCCCCCCAAAAGCCTGAAAGGGGGGGCCAACATATCTTTTGGCCCCCCCCAAAACGCTTGGAGAAAAATTAATGTGAGAAGGTTGCGTAGTAGATACCTACTAGAATCAGCAGCGTGATTCAATAGCGTAGAGAAAGTCAGGGGCGCGGGAACTACTTTCAGACTGGGGGAGCACACCATAATAGAGATCAACCTAGGGTCCCCCCAAATCTAGTTTTCTCACCGGTTTTAGGCCACTTATTTTTAATCCCTTGGCTTTTTCAACAAAAAAAAGAAACAGTTGCAAAAAAGGACGGTATTCCGTTTGAAAGTTGTGGGGGCACCGCCCCCACTGGCGGATTCAAGGGGGCCACCGGGGCCATGGGCCCAAAAAGCCTGAAAGAGGGGGCCAACATATCTTTTGGCCCCCCAAAACGCTCGAAGAAAAATTAATGTGAGAAGGTTGTGTAGTAGATACTTACTAGAATCAGCAGCGTGATTCAATAGCGTAGAGAAACCCAGGGGCGCGGGAACTACTTTTAGACGGGGGGGGGGGGGGGAGGTCACACCATGATAGAGATCAACCTAGGATCCCCCAAATATAGTTTTCTCGCCGGTTTTAGGCCACTTATTTTTCATCCCTTGGCTTTTTCAACAAAAAAAAGAAAACATTTGCAAAAAGGAGCGGTATTCTGTCTGAAAGTTGTGGGGGCACCGCCCGCACGGCCCCAGAGTTGGGGGGGGGGGGGAAGCTGCCACCACTGCCCCCTCCCCCCGGTTCCCGCGCCTATGGAGAAACTACCGGGTTTACTAGCTTCCTTCATAAAGTGTCGTCATGTCTTATCGTCACCCGAGAAGGTCTTATTGCATAAATATCGATTGAGCTGTCAAGTTAACAAACTTGCTGTGGCAGCCTGACCTGA